CAATACTCTATAAGGAACTCCAAGCCATCAGAGGAAATGAGAAAAATTGGATGGCAATTATAGAAAATGTCGAGAATTAGTGTTATGCCAATTGGAAGCTTTAGGGGATAACCTGGAGCATCTAAGTATCGAAACCACAATGGAAAATAAATTGCCATCATGGGTTCTGAATAAGATATATGCTCAGAAGAAATTAGACAGGCCGTGGTCGATTTTAAAACTTCTTGTCAACCTTAGTTGATGTCACTCAACAAGTAAGGAATTGCCAAAGTTCATGTACCCATGTTGTGCGCAAACCTACAATTACCAAAGGGGGATAGGAACAAAATTATAATCCTGAAGGAATTTCAGCATTGTCAACAACACAAGTTAACCAAAACTTACGGCAATCTACAATAGTGAAAAGGAGACCGTGCATCTTTTGCATCCCAAGATCATTGGGATAGCGATTGTGATATCTACCCCACAACAAAAATTCGAATAAAGCGCCTCAAGACGTTAAAAAAATGTCCAATTTGTCTCAGAGACAGCCATAAAGGTAAAACATGTAAAACGACCGAAAGATGCTTCTACTGCAAAGCTCCAGATAACAGTGCCTTATGTGGAGAAAGAAGCATATCAACTTCAAACAACATGGCGCATCCAAGAAATCAAGAACAGGTCTTCGCACATAGGAACACAAAGGAGTATTCGACATCACCTTACAACTCAATCCTCACGACTCATGCCAACGCAACAATAGAAACCTTTACTTCTATGTAAAATGATGAAGGTCTTCAATCCATTGCAACACCGAAGACAACAGAAAGTCTTAGCACTGTTCGACATAGGTTCACAGCGGTCGTTTATCTCAAGAAGATTATCTCATCAAATGAGATTATCAGAAACAGAAACTCGAATTATGCAAATAGCTCCTTTTGGCATAATAGAACCATTGCAGTGTCCCACTTCTAGAGTGCAATTGAACGTACGGACAACCGATAAGGGAATTATAACGCTCCGCGCTGACGTCATTGAACATTTAACAAATAAACTACAGGTAGTTGAGGTACCTAGGGAACCTCGATTCAATGACCTAACAAATTACTGGGAGAAACCCGACACATTAATTGGAGCTGATTATTTCTTTAAATTCATCAATCTACAAGACATCAAGGAATTACATTCTGGGCATACACGTTAGTACAATCGAAGGTTGGCGCCATAATAGGAGGAAGTGGGGATATTAACGAACTTTGTAAACATAATGGATATTCCGCAGAAATAATATACTCAGTTAATGTAAACCTAAATTCGGAATTAAAGAAATTCTGGAAATTAGAAATGATCGGTATTCACGAATCTCCCTTAGCTGATGATGATGATCGAGCTATAAAACACTTCGAACAAACCATCACTTCACTAAAACAAATGGGAGATATCAAGTATGTTGGCCGTGGAAAGACTCCAAACTAAAACTGAGCAACAATTATGGGTTGTGTATTGGACGTCTGGAAAATCTAGTTAAGCGTCTACAACTCCGATCGCTTCTTCATTTGTATGATACAATAATCAAAGATCAATTACAGATCGGAATAATCGAAGAAGTACCTCCAAATGATGAGGCTGGTATTATACATTATTTACCACATCATGAGGTGCTAACTCCTAGCAAAACCACCACCAAATTAAGAATAGTGTATGACGCCTCAGCACGCCAGAAAGGACTTAAAAGCCTTAACGAAGTACTGTATCGAGGTCCAGTAATCCTGCCACATCTAGTTGGGGTGTTGCTACGTTTTCGATCAATGAAGATAGTAATAACTGCTGATATCGAAAAAGCATTCTTACAAATAGGATTACAAGAAGACGAGAGAAATTGTACACGATTTCTTTGGTTAAAGGACATCAATAAGGAGGTCAGCAGTGAGAACCTAAATTGTTATCGCTTTCAAAGAGTTCCCTTTGGAGTGGTGTCATCACCTTTCTTATTAGCGCCAACGCTTAACCATCATCTAGAAAATTGTCGTAGCGAATTAGCCGAAGAAATCAGAAGAAATCTGTATGTCGATAACATCACTATATCAGCGAATGGGACCCAAGATGCGTTATATAAATATGAACAAATGAAGAAAATTTTTAAGGAGGCCTCAATGAACGTGAGGGAGTTTCTCTCAAATAATAAATTCAATAAGCAAATATCTCGTAACGACCTAAACCAAACAAAAAAGGAAAACTTCCTTGGACTTAATTGGAACCATCAAGGGGATCATATCAATGTAACATTAAAACCTTGGAAAGGGAAAGTGTGGACCAAAAGATCCATACTACAATTCATCGCCTCTCAATATGACCCGTTGGGCTTTATAGTCCCAGTCCTGATCAGATTCAAATTGTTCATTCAAGACCTATGGAGAGAAGAAATTTCTTGGGATCAACCCTTAAATGAAGCAAACAAACAAAAATGGAGGAAACTCATTAGTGAATGGCCAACAAAAGTAACAAAATTTTTCAAATCAGACAGAATTTCACATATTTACGGATGCTTCCAAAATGGCTTATTCTGCTGCTGTTTGCATACGGACAATAGTACCGGAAGGATGGTCAAGGTCATCCTTGATCTTAGCTAAATCTCGAATTGCTCCAATCAAAGGGATATCAATACTCAGACTTAAACTACTATCTGTATTGATCGGAGTAAGAGCAGGTCAGTTCGTACTAAAACAGTTACACGTGAAAAATAATCCCGTTACTTTATGGTCAGATTCAAAATGCGTTCTATATTAGATTGTAAACTATACGAACTGACTTGCTCTTACTCCGAAGCTACTTCCACGATTTGTACAAGTCAGAGTGGAAGAAATCCGAGATTCCAAATTTAAACTAAGATATATTCCTAGCCAGGAAAATCCTGTTGACATAGCAACCAGAGGAATTTCACCATGTGACTTACGAAATTATGAAAATGGTGGAATGGACCTCAATGGCTAAGTGAACCTGAATCAGAATGGCCCAATGATAAATTTCTTCATAATAGTGATGATGAATTCGAACAAGCAATTATCGCGAAATTGGCAACGATTCCAACACAACGGAGAAACAAAGTAATGATTCAATTCATCCAAGTACATCGCTTTAGTAAATGGATAAAATTACTAAGAGCGACTGTATGGGCCCTCAGATTCATTAAGCGAAGTTGTCATAGAAGACTATCATGGTTACAAGCTTCCGACAAACGCAATCACAAGGCTTAACAGATGAGGAAAAGAAAAAATAGAGTTTGCTTCTATATAGTCAAGACAACTTATGGAGGTCAAGTAGCCGCCTGGAATGTTCAGAATTAGATGATGACAACAGGTTCCCGATCTATTTACCGAGAGGTCACTATATGACTACCCTCATCATCCTCCATCAACATGAGGAACTGTATCAAGCGGGAATTGGAATTACGTTGTCCGAATAAAGACGAAGATTTTGGATACAGCAAGGAAGAGCAGCTGTAAAGAGTGCATTATCTAAGTGTATGGCTTGTAGAAGATGGAAAGCAAAGCCATTTAGACTACCTGCCATGCCAAATCTGCCAGAATCCCGAGTAAAAAGATCCAAAGCATTCGAACATGTGGGTCTAGATTACTTGGGACCAGTTACAATCAAATCTGCTTATAGTCTGATTAATAAGAAATGGATCGCACTCTTCATATGCTTTACTACGAGAGCGGTACACCCAGAATTAGCAGAGGATTTATCTGTCGAGAACTTCTTACATGTTCTAAGAAGATTTGTAGCTCGACGGGGATATCCAAAATTGGTCCTCAGCGACAATGCGAGTCAATTTCAACTCGTCTTTAAAGTCATAATGGAACAACACTCCAACTTCCTAGCAGAAAGGGATATAGTTTGGAAAAATACTATACCTAAAGCACCGTGGGGCGGCGGTATATATGAACGGATCATTGGACTCACAAAACAAGCCCTAAGAAGGGCAGTAGGAAGAAAACTCCTAAAGGAAGGAGAACTTATAACGTTAATAGCTGAGATAGAGGGAATACTCAACACCCGTCCATTAACTTACGTCGGTTTTGATGACTATAAAGTTATACGTCCAATCGATTTCATATCACCTACGTCCTCATTGGGAATACCAATCAAAAATGACAATGGGGATGAAGAGTATACTCCTCACTCTTTAACAACAAAGGATAAACTTGTTAATTATTGGAACAATACTCTCAAAACGTTGGATGTTTTCTAGAATTTTTGGACAGACGAATACTTAACAAGTTTCAGAAAGCAAACACAAAAGGAACTAATCTCTCCTCGACAAGTAGAAAAAAGAAGACCACGGGAGAACAAAATAGTTTTATTAATAGAACCAGACGCACCTCGTGGCATGTGGAAACTAGCAAAAATCATCAGCCTTCATAAAGGACGGGACGGAAATATTAGAAGTGCAACGATCAAATTACCCATTGGAAAGCAGCTAGAACGCTCAATAAACTTGCTATGCCCCATGGAAGTAAATGAGTCCAATGAAATAGAAGAAAGATCAGAAAGAAAGGCAGAAGAAAACCAAGAAGAAACGGAAGAACCCATTGTTAATCGAACCAGAAGAGCAAAAAAGTTATCAATTCAACCTGGAAACACTAGTATTGACTAGTCTACTGGTATCACAAAAGCAATGCTCTTGTTGACCATAGTATTTTTAACGATTAAGCAGGTAGGAACAACAAAAACCTGCATGTGGACTTCCGGAATACCGTTTAATATTCCCTGCAAGATGGAGCTGTGATAGTATAATCAACCAAGACCACAAAACCACAAACCAATTGCTTATGATTGAAATTCCCCCAGAAGAAACGTTCGACCCGAATAACATAAAGTTCCAATATATTTTCGATTCACTCAGACAAGAATTTATTCAGCAACTTAAAATAACATATCAAAGAAGTTGCCAGAACAAGAATAAATTACTATATTTGATTGAAACGATATCCATAAATTATCCTACTCTAGCAACAAAGATGTTATTGCAAAGGGATGATGTAATAGCTAAAAGAGAAAAGGGGATATTGTGGATAGCACCCTGTAAGACAGATAGAGTTCCGCTTCCAACCATCGAATTTACTGGTGGATTAATAAATAAATTCGAAATCGAGAAAATTAATGCTGAATCGAAACTTCTAAGCTACCATTACGACACAACTACTTCAATATCGTCTCACCAAAGGGGCGATTCTATCTGGGAAGAAATTGCTGAACAAGGAGAATCAACAAATCGAATCGAAAAGGAATTTGACCAAGTTATTCAATCCATCCAAGAAGAACTTGAAAGCGTAGCAACAAATGGGAAATTTTAATTCCCCATTTGTTAAATGTTGTTAAATACAATATTTGTATAAATGTTGTTACACTATCTATTGTAATAATTGGTCTTAAATTCAAACTTACATTCCTACGACCCTTATTTTATTCCTCTCGAAGACGACCATTGTCTTTCCTACGGAACCTAAACTTACCCAAGTTCTAGATCAGGAAGGGCAAATTCCAGTTATTAGACTTCCATACTAATTCTTCCTCTCTCCTCCCTTTGGGAGTGTCGCTAATTCGGAATTCGCGAAACTCCAACTAAATTCTAAATAAACAAATAATCAAATAAATACCTCATTCTACGTTCCTTAGATTTATTTCCCATCTTTGTATTGTTAGCTAAATTCACATCCTTGTGTTCACATCCTACAAATGCTTAATGAAAACCACTCCCACTTCCGAATATATATAAACCATATTGCATTAATAAAAGGAGGAAGGATCGATAAACTTTCTACAATCTGGTACGTTTATCAAAATAATTCAGTTCAACTCAACCAGACTTGCCGGACTCAAGGAACTGTTCAATCAATCCAACGGATCGTCAATTCGGAACAAATTTGAGGTGATGATTCTAAGCTCTTGACGGACTTCTCAACAATTCTACATGAAAATTCACGACATCTATATCGCTGAAAATTG